GGGAGAGAGGGAAGAGAAGAGAGAGAGAGAGAGAGAGAGAGAGAGAGAGAGAGAGAGAGAGAGAGAGAGAGAGAGAGAGAGAGCGCACGGAGGGAGGGAGGGGACGCAAAAAAGATGGAAGAAGGGGAGGTGAAGATGCGCGTGTAGAGAGGGAATGGGAGTTAAAGAGCGAAATGACTCGAGGAAACGCGCCGGATGTAAAGGAGTGCGCGAAAACGGGAGTCCAGAAAAAGAAAAGAAGACTAATAGAGGATGAGGGTACCCTGGTTGTCATGGCTTTTGGTTGCCGTTGCCTTGGCAACGCTGCAGAGTTCTGTGTAATAGCCGGGCTGTTGTCGTGTGGCCGTGGCTTTATAAAGCGCAGTGAAATCTGTGAGCCGACAGGCCGCGTTCCAATGCGTACCGCGCTCTACGCCGCATACTAGATAGGTAGTATGCGATACAGTGTGCGATGATTAACGTGTACTGTGCACTGCTCTGTACGCATGGATTCCGCGGATGACCTACCGCATTTGCATCTGCAGCGTAACACTGCAGAGTAGCTACACTGTGTGGGGTAATGCATCCTGCGATCGGGGGTTTTACTGAACTAAAGCCAAACAACAAAAACGCTGTTACTTGAAATATAATAAACAGGAACTATGATGAAATAAAAAGGATAATAAATGATAAAAGTGCTGGAAATTTGCTGATCGATATATGATATCATATCAAATTACATTTTCTAAAGTGATTTTTTTTAAATACATATAGAAAGCATATTTAATGCAAGGAAAGTGTCTGCTTTAATGTTTCAAATAACTTTTTTTTTTTTTAAATAAAATGTCAAAATGATTATTCTGACCTGTACTTATTAAAATAAATTCAGAAAAAAAGTGATCATACTAAATTGTATTATATTTTAATTAAAAACATCCTGCTGGCAAGTAGATAAACCCTAGTGGTTTGAAGGATAGTGGCAAAGATGTTTAACATTCTAGAAGTTTATATATATACAGAATTGGAATAAGATGATATAAGGGATTTATTCACTCTCAGAAAAAAAGATTCAGAAGCTGTCACTGGGATGGCCCCTTTTCAAAAGGTACTTCTGTGTACCTAAAGGGTCCATATTGGTTGCATATTAGTACCTAAATTGTACATAGTAGTATCTAAAATGTACAAAAGTGTACCTTTTGAGATGGTACTGCCCCAGAGACATGCAGCTTGTATACCTCTTGTTCTGAGATGATGTTTAATATAGCATTAGCAATTATTCACTATCCAGGTCATGTGATTGCTGGCCTGGGATCATGCTTCACAAGACAATAAACAATATCAACATCACCGCAAGTAAACAGGGTGCTAGGATAAATGAACTAATGGGGTTCTTACTTTCATTAGATCCACATGTGGTTGTTCAGTCATCTTGTTTATTTTGAATGAACTGTATAAAGCTTGCTGATTTAATTTCTCACCTCAAAAGGCATTATTTATTGTAATTTGGCAGTCTATAATTATTTGACTAATACTACTAATAATATTCTAATATATATATATATATTAATATAATAATAATAACTGAGAAATTAATCATTTGAGAAAGAATATTTCTAAAAAGAAACACTCTAAAAAATGTGGGTCAAAGATGGACTAACCCAGCTGTTGGGTAACATTTTTTAATTGAATTTTTAACCCAAAAGTTGGGTTAGTCTATATTTGACCCAAAGTTGGGTTGAAACAACCCAGCATTTTTTAGAGTGAAGAAATAAAAAATGAAAGGAAGGAAGAAAGAAAGAAAAAAAGTGCAGTGTTTGGCAGCTCATCAGCGCCCCCTGCTGATTTGGGTCCCTGGGTGAAGGGCCATGACTGAATGCCATTTGCTGAATTAAACATGTAACGTAATGTGACAGTGCATGCGACACAATGTTCACTGCATTATACACACTGCTTTAAAAATGGCTATTTTTCAAAAGTGGGCTGAATGCAGTATTGTGCCATACACTATTCCACTCTGTTTGTATACTGCACATTTTACAACGGAGTCAGGTATATACTGCAAATGTGCATACTATACATACTGTACACTGCAGAAATAGTATGACTAGTATGCTATTCTCGGAAAAAGCCTGAAGAGAGCAACAAGGCATTGCATTCGGTTTATTTCCTCTCTGAAATAAAAGACAAGAGAAAACAGAAAGAGAGGCGGTGAGAGACTGAAGAGGAGAGAAGATAAATCTATTTTTATTGACAGTGTCATCTGATTTGCTTCTTTTTATGCCTTTGTGTTAACACTTGAGTCTTTTCTCCATATATATGTTCATAAACACATTGAGTGTGTTTTATGTTGTGCACAGTTTATATATACTGTATACATACATACATACATATTTTATTATTATTATCACTTTGCCTTTAAGATAGTGGACTGTACCATTAAAGTCATTCAAAGAGTATGTCAGAGCCTGTCAATCAGCACCTCCATCCAGTCAAGAGTCAATGGTTGTGCAATAAAGCAGCTGTCAGTGATGCATTTTCAGTCTCCAGGGTGTTGCATATAAAAAACTTCATAAATCGGATTATTTCATTCAAACAGTGTTTCATTGCTAATGGAAGAGTGTTTTGACTGAATGTAATCCAAGCCATCTGTATCTGCCATGCAGAATCCATGCCACTTGAGTTCCTGAAGTACAATAGTGTGTTGTGTTGAGCTGCTGTGACTTTCATGTCAGGACTGGAGAGAGAGAAAGCAATCGAGAGTATGCATGCTTTAATTGGGTGTTGTTAAAACAGAAAGAAGACAACGAATACAATGCTTTTATTGGTTTGGTTTAAATCTGCCTTTATATGGATTGACCATACATCCTCACTCCTACATCACTGTTACATAAGTGCATGTGCATATGTGTGTGTGTGTGTGTGTGTGTGTCTGCTGAAATGCATCAGAGTGGAGCAGTGATGTTGAGTCTCAGTTTAAATATATGAAGTTTTATATAAAAGAGAGTTGCCCGTAGCAACACTACTGAGCTTGTCATCATAAAATTGCATTCACATACATACAGTACATGCTCAAGCAGGTGTCGGGTAGGCTGGGGGCATTCATATTTAACTATTTAATTGTTCACACATTCCCGTGCTGTGAACAGACAGAAGCTAATCTACATACATTCATATAAAAGCATTTTTACATAGGCTATATTCACAAACTCATTTTTTTAAAGTCTCTCACATGCATCTGTAAGCAATATGTTTAAATTGGTTATATATGCAGTCTAAATTGTAGACTTAAATATTACAATCGTGAATGTGTTACAATATTTGGTAACATCTGTGATGTAGAATGGCAAGATAAACCAATTTCACTATTTTGTTACAAAACACCTCGGTTTTTTGTAAAAGCTCTCCATCTTGTGGTCGTTTCGGATATTCCAGCATATTTCTGTGGAACAGACACGTA